TTTTCTCGGTCGGTTAATTTATCTCCGCGTGACGATTGTGTTTGCGCGAGCTAACTCGTTAAGTATCTCGAGTTTTACGAATGCAATCTTATAGAACTGAAAAGCTTTAACGTGATATTTTGCTATTCTACCCGCACAGCAAAATATATCTGAGACTTAAATCAGATATTATTTCACCGGTCATATTCGAGATATCTCGTATAAGACGATACATCCTGAATATTTTAAGGATATCACATTTCTGATATCCCTTTTACAAAATTATTGTTTATATTTTTATTACTTTTTGTTTTTAAATAATTGTTTCTTAGTTAACGTTTCCTCAAAATAAATTTTCTAAACTTATGTAGATAAAAAATGAAAAAGCTAAATATGAGTTTACAATAATCGCATAAAAAAGTAAAGGCTGATTTGCGGAGGCCGTGTTACTTAATCTATGTCAGCTCTGATAAAGGAAAAATATATTTTATTTATCACATGGCCTATTCTGTAATATGTAAAATCCGATTTCACTAAAATATAGATATGTACTATTTGATATAAAATCAGATATATCTCAGATGACATAATTATGACTTTTCAGAATCTGGACTATATCTCTCGGATATCCGAGCAATATCCGAATAGTTTTTGTATCAGATATTGTAATATTTAGTTATCTCCCAGATATCTTTGTGACACTTTTTGCTGTATGGGTAAGCGCGACTTTTAAATGGCATAAATTTCTTACGGTTCATATTAATTTGTTTTCGCGTTCGTCAGTTGCTTATTTAACAAGTGACACTTTTAATTTAGATCGCTGACTTAAGTCGCATTAAAAGCCGTCATTATCATATATTTCCAGTTTCGATTTCACAATTACGTCTATATAGAAAATTAAACTTCAGTAAATTTTCCTCTTTCATGTCTTATTCCGTTGACGCAGTCTCTCGCTTGAAAAGATGGGAAAATAGTTAGCGCTGTCGCACAGCTCCAATTAGAAGCACAACCGCTCCGTTCATCTTCGCAGATTCGCTCGTCGGGCACAACGGCGGCGTAACTCTGAACCGGAAACGGTTAATCGCGATCGCCCGTCGCGCGGCTGCGAGTGAACGCATTGACGCGATTAGCAGTGTCGAGGCGCAAACAAAACGCGCGCGCGTTTTCCGCCGTCCCCGACGATTCATCGCGGCCGGATATTTGGCTCGCGCGATCCAAAAGCAAAATACGCGACGCGCATCGCCGGACAAAACGCATCCGCGCGCGCTCGCGCGCGTTTCGTTCCCTTTTTGCGGCTTGCGCGCGCTCGCGTGCGAATGTTCTCGTCCGGCCGGCTAAAATATCTCGCATATTTTTGTTGGGAATTAATCCGGCCCGTAATACCGGCCAGCGGGTGCGCACTGAAAATTCTCTCGACAAACAACTCTCCCACCGCCCACCCATCTCCCCCGTAGCCGCACGTGTCTGCAATTTCCACGTGTGTCCGTGTCTTGGGGAAGGCGGCTGTACAGTAATGTACGGGGTCGAGAAAAAAAATTGACTTATGTGTTCAGAGCTTGATGCAACTTGCGGCGGACAATATATTGTTACAAAAAAAATGCCGTTGAAAAAAAAATTAAGTTGCTTGAATTAAACGTTAACGTCACGGGCTGCCACAAACATAAATAACTCACTCAATTGCATTTCCTGGACTATATTCTACGAACTTTAATTTTAGACATTGAAACTAAATATCCAGATTATTAAGAAAATTTTCTGATGTTTTTCATTCATTATATACTGACGATGTTTCAACAATTTTATTTCAACTGGACTGAACTTGTTGATGCAACGTCATTTTTTTTCTGTACGTATTCTGATGTACATGCATATTGTACATCAACATATTCTTATATTCCATGACAATATTCTTATATTTCTAAAACCAACGGCACACGATATTATTTTTCCCACTGGATTGCTTACGAGAGCCAATCAGGATTTAGCCTTAAGTCACCTGAACTAAAACTCTGCATCCTTACTGGTTCTCGAAATCAATCCAGTAGGAAACATAGTATCGCGTGCCGTTGGCTTTAGTCTCAAATTTTAATAAATCTAAATTTGGAATACGTTAAAAATTTTCAATGATATAGTTGAGTTTCACACATCGAATCTGACTCTTTTTATTAGAAACACTTAGGTGCTCCTGACTCGGCAATGCGCGCGTAATTGAATCTCCGCTAAACTTGTTCTAGAGTCCAGCCCAGCGGAAAGTCCGGTCTTGTTGATGCGCGAAGCGTTTTTCGAGCCACCTTGTATAGAAGTCTGCAGACTCCGCGAGGCTGTATCCCCGGCGTCGTTCGTGTACACCTCGCCCGTGTGTTCGACAAGCGCGCGAGGGTGCCCGGGACTCGCTCGTGAGAGAGCGGGAAAACGCGCGAACCGGCGAAATGGTCAACCGTAACCCCCGACCCGGAGAGGGCGGCCCCTCGAGCCGCACCCTCCCCCTCGCAAACCCCCGCGGGCGCGTATCCGCCGCCTGGAATTCCTCAAGTTTACCGAGGGACAGAAATTAGTTGGAGCGACGTAATTGCTGGAATGTATGCGTTCGCCCGTTAACGTTATGGCACCTCTCATTATAACCGTTCTAACGGCAGCTGACACGAGCCTCCGCCCCCGTGTGCGCCATTCTCGAGGAAAAAAAAAAAGGGGTCAAACGTCACCCTGGTGGAATAAGGACCCGGGTGCGATAAAGCGCTAAGATTCCCCCACGGTATTTTACTAATTTTACCTTCGTAGGTGTACCGCGAGATTTATATGCTAATTATATACATAAGAGAAGTGTAATGTAATGTTACATGGAGAAAAGTCCTTTATTATGAGATAGCTTTCTACTATGAGACAGCAGGTTTTCAACACCCAAATTCAATCACAAATCTTTTTTCGCAACGATTACACGATCTAACAATGAATTTTCCACTAAACAGGTTTTGCTCCGAGGGTAATAAATTCATGGAATCAACTGATGACGTCTATTAATTTAACAGAAACCCCGCTATCCCATATTAGGATCCTATCTTATTACAGGGAACTTCCCTTTATGTATGTCGTACACTCACTCGTGCTGTACACGGTTCTCCCCCCATTAGTCAATTGCAATCTGCAACATCCCTCTATATACTATCTTTGTTCTTATATTCTATAGATTTTTTCTATGTTCTATTCAAATTTTGCTTTATTATACGAAAGCTTATTCTCACTCGTAATTATTTTTCTGTGCTTATCTAACGCGTAAGGGACTTGTCCCAGAGCGTTTAATAAATAAAGATTCTATTCTCTCTCTATTTTTTTTCTAACGTGACGCCCTCGAAATCTGCCGATGCGTTGTGGAGGATTTTCAGTCCGCACGCGGTTATCTGCCCTCGACCCATAAATAGCCGAAGTCTCGTCGAACGCAATTTAATCAAGTTCGGCAAGTTCGCCGACGGTGCCGGCGGTTGTCGGGGTCAGTGCATGCATTCTATACTAGCCAGGGGAATTTTGTGTACCTCGCGCGGTCACCTACTGTAATATTAATGGCCCGAGTATGAAATTTGCTTAATCATGACTAACGGGATGACCCAATGGAGTCACAATAGGCCGCCGTACGCCCGTCGCGTCAATCCCGAATAACAATCGCCGTTGGTGCCTGCGGTGCGAAGATGCATTTTAAAAAAAAACCAGTAATCCGTAAGTTGGTGTGCGGCTTTGCAAAATGATATTGATTTTGATTTCAGTGCCACGTCCCCGGGAAAGTTTGCGAAATTTAATAAAGAATAGTGGGGGCGATTTAATAGAAATAGAAAGTTAATCAAATTTCAAAGTGAAATCTCACTCGCTAACTTACTTTCGTTCGCTTCAATTTATTCAGCTAACTTTCTTGATTCACAAGAACCACTTTTACATCCAATCAGTGTATTTTCCTTGAGGCGAAAAATTTCAATTTAATTAGTGCGATTTTTCCGCAGTTGTCTTTTATTTACCGATCATGTTAAACGTTTCTTTAAAATATTTAATAAGCGCGCGTCTCTGAACGGTATATTGTGAGAGGACGCTTTCAAATTGCGCGTAACTCGTCGTTGCAATTCGAAAGCGTCGTTTGTAGAAAAGAATTTGATCCTCCTCGCCGGACAACGAATATCTTGGGGGAACATTTCTCCTCCTCGGACACGACTCTAATGGCCGGTAGCATTTTCTTGCTTAATTAGCGTGACTAATGCCGCGCATTTGACCATTTCGTATCTGCGGCCACGGACGGCGGTAAAAAGACACCGGCGCGAAAAGAAAATCCGGCGAACGCTAAAAGTGGGGGAGTGACAAATCCGAGGTGCCGGGGAAAACAAAGCTCGGCCGACGGACGAAAATTACGAAAAACAATGAAAAATGTTCGTCAGTTATCGGGGAATCAGGTACGTCCATTCTCCCCGTAACAAAATCGTCCCGGCTGTATCTCACGGGGCGGAAAACACGTTTGCATCCACGCTCCTTGTACGCCTTATTTACACATACCGTTATTCATTCATGTGCATAATTTTTAAGTTTCTCATGTTCTATCGGAATTTTACCGATCGCCGGCGATCAATTTTACATACGTAGAGGAAGGTCCGCTACTATGAGATAGCGGGTTTCCAACGTCCAAATTCAATCGAAAATCTTCTTTCGCGACAATCGCACGATCTAACAATCAATTTTCTCGCGTTCTCTCACAATATACCGTTCGGAGACGCGTGTTCATTAAAAATATTTTCAAGAAACGTTTAACATGATCGAGTAAAAGGAAACCGCGGAAAAACTCGCACCATACATACAGATTTTACTCCAGTGGCAATAAATTCACGGTGGAACCAACAGATGACGTCTACTAATGCAGCGGAATCCCCCCCGCTGTCTCATATTAGGGGCCTGTCTCATAATAGGAAACTTTGAGTAATATCTCCCAAACTTTCAGTCAACTTTACGCTTCATTATTCATGATTTCATGATAGATGCAGTGAAAATATTACCATGTAACGGACGGCTGTACTAGGTACTGGAAGGCAATCCGGCGTCGAATACCCGGAAAGGAGAAATAGTTCCGTCGTCTCCCCCCTCTCTCTTTCTCTCTATCTCACTCCCTCTCTCTCTTCCTCCTTTCAACTCCAGACTTCCTTCTGCAACACGAAATAAATGCGTGGTTACGAAACGGCGGAATGATTGATTGATCCGCGCAAAGAAAGCGCGACACGAGACTTCGATCAAGGGAAGGTGCGTTACCTCGGCCGCGTTCCCGCGCATCTGCGCGCGACGAACATATCGGCGACAACGACGGAGTATTCCGTGGCGCGTCGCCGAGTCCGAGCCTTACGTTACCTCGATCCGCCTCCCCAGATCCGCCGCCCTTGCGAAAACGAGGTTTCTCACGGGGAAAATCGCCGGCCGATCCGCCGCCGGAAACATCGACGTGAAATGAGATCGTCCGAAAAAGGAACAAGATGGCGTCGCGCGATCGCGCCGTCGCGCGCGCAATCCGCGACAACTTCGCCCCGCGAAAACGCGATCGATTCGAATCGAGCGCGGGGGCGAGAATCTTATCGGTATTCCCTATTGATCTTTTCTCGGCCCGAATATTAATTTAATAGATCTGCGTCTGCTTCTGCCAATGTGAGTCAACTTTAAAGAAGAAAGAAGTAAGTTAAAAAGGAAATTAAATGATTAATATCAAAGTCTTCAATGTGTCGGTAAAGAGGTGCGCGACTCGAAAATTTCCAGACCACCTCGGTCAACCCATTGAATAAGCTGAAGCTTGTGAAGAGAGAGAGAGAGAGAGAGAGAGAGAGAGAGAGAGAGAGAGAGAGAGAGAGAGAGAGA